TATCTTTTTGTTTTAAAAACAGAAAGCAGATAAACTTGACAAGGACTAGTTGTCTGGATGTGCAGAGACCACCGTCTGTGTTGCTGACCAGGGTAGTCTCATTGTTTTCTTGCATGCCTCCATCTGACAGTATCCAGCTGCTGTCTCTTGTCATATAGTTTGATTCTGAGATGTTTGGGAAGGGACCGTCTTTTTAGATTAGATCATGGAATCAAGGAAAATGATGGGAGCTGCATCTGCCAAGAACTTTGAGCATCAATAGGACAGAACACTAGAAAACATACTGTTCCCTTGGGAGGAAAAAGATGACCTAGATAATCTAATGGACAAAGAGGCCACCACCAAATATCTAATTGTGCATCTGTAACTGATCAGGGGCTGCAGAATTATGGGTGCACATTTTGGCATCTCTTTGCACCCAGTTCTTGATCCAGATTGTCTAGTGCAAACTGTGCTGCTCATGCATTGCAAAATGAGAGAGTTCTATTCCTTCCAGAAATGGCCAGCGGGAAATTCCCATTGCAAAGAGGAACTCTTAGAATCATAGAATAATAGGACTGGAAGGGACCTCAAGAGGTCATCGAGTCCAGCCCCCCGCCTTCAAAGCAGGACCAAGCTCCATCTACACCATCCCTGACAGATGTCTATCTAACCTGTTCTTAAATATCTCCAGAGAGGGAGATTCCACCACCTCCCTTGGCAATTTATTCCAATATTTGACCACCCTGACAGTTAGGAATTTTTCCTAATGTCCAATCTAAACCTCCCCGCTGCACTTTAAGCCCATTACTCCTTGTCCTGTCCTCAGAAACCAAGAGGAACAAATTTTCTCCTTCCTCCTTGTGACACCCTTTTAGATATTTGAAAACCGCTATCATGTCCCCCCTTAATCTTCTTTTTTCCAAACTAAACAAGCCCAGTTCATGAAGCCTGGCTTCATAGGTCATGTTCTCTAAACCTTTAATCATTCTTGTCGCTCTTCTCTGTACCCTTTCCAATTTCTCCACATCTTTCTTGAAATGTGGCGCCCAGAACTGGACACAGTACTCCAGCTGAGGCCTAACTAGTGCAGAGTAGAGCGGCAGAATGACTTCTTACCTGGCCCTCAACTGTAAGAGAAGGTTTTTGTGCCTGTTGGTGTAGGGGGAGTGCTGGAGCAGCAAAGGAGCAAAGGTGGAGTGGAGCTGTGTTACTTAGATTCTCTGCTGCTATAAATTTAGAGTAGTCCCATGGTTGTTCTAACCAATACTCCCTGCCCATTCATGCTGAGCAAAAAATGTAGGGGGAAACAGAACCCACCTGCCTAAGTTCTTTAGACTGTGTGGGTACTCATTTCTAGATGGTGCTTTTGCTCTTACAAACACTGGAAGAATAAAAAAGGGTTTTTTTTTTGTTTTTTTGTTTTTTAAATACCATATAAAGTAAACCTGTGTCACCAAACTGAAATAAACCCCCCATCTGGTTGTGTCATGCTGTCATCTGTTCTTGAATTCTCTCTGGTGTTGGTTCAGTTAGTTAGCATTGTTATTTAAGTACCTCTACTTGTCACTTTTATTTCCTGCTGGTAGAAAGCATGGCCTCATGGTGGTGAGTACGGTTTATAGGTAATTCAGCTTCACTTGGTGGGAATTTAAACATTAGTATTGATGCTAAAGTTTTTAATAAAATATAGGTAGAGAGAAGGGTATTGATTCTTAAGAGTTTTTTTCCTTTTTATTATAGAAGAGAAGGGTTGATGTATTGGCGAACATGAAATAAGAATTATCCTATGCTAGTACATGAGACTGCAAATGAGGACAGATATGCTAACAGAGGAATAAGTCAGGAAAACTATCAGGAAAATGTATCTGACATTGATCATTTGCAGCCTGCTAGAGTTGGGTGATGCTTATAGGCCAAAGGGCAATGGGCCCAGGTTAAGAACTGATAAGATCCCAGATAAGGAATGTTACACAGAAGGTTTCAGATCATGCCATATTAATTCTTGCATTCAAAAAGGTATTTTTTTATTCATTTAGTGACTCCACCTTTGTGTCACAAGTGTGGGGACAGCAGTTTTTGTGGGACAGAGCTGAATTTGGATCATAGCTCAGGGATATTGTGAGTTGAGACTGGAGGGCAAAAACGAGTTGCATTCCTTGTCTGTTTTTAAAGTGGAATTTTTTAATCGAAGAAACTCAGTTGTCCATGTTATTCATCTCCTGTGAAATGAGGTGACTGCAGTGGTGTGGGAACATTTTTAAAATTGGGGTACTGAGTCCCCTTTTCCTATCCACCCTCACTCCCAGCTCAGGCTGGGAGCAAAGCCCCAGCACGTGGGTCTGGCAATTGGGACCAAAGGCATGGGGCTAGCAGCAGAGGCCCCAGCCATACAGCGCTCAAACCGAGACCCACCCCCCAGCATGTGGAGCTGGCAACGCAGGGCAGCAGCTGGGAACAAAGCACATGGAGCCAACAGAAGAGCTCCTGATGCATGGGGCCAGCAGCGGGGATCACAGGTGCTAGGATGAGACCCCCAAGGGTCCTGAAGCAGCTTCTGCACTCCTAGTTTCTGCACCTATGGGTGACTAGTCTATATCTATGCAGCAAGGTGTAGTCAATCCAGTCTAGTTACAAGGGCACTGGTTGGTCCATGTTTATGCTGCAACTGTGGCCTACTTCTATTTCATACAGAACCTAGCCACATCCTTGATCTGCACACTGAGCGCTTGGGCTGCCCAAAGTTTTGGACTGCTTGTGATTTCCGTGTGGCTCTGCATACATAACATCACCTTGCAGGACTGGGCCCTTCTACAGCACCTTTCATGCTCAATGCACAGCAAGAATCAAAGCAATCTCCTAGGTTAAAGGCGTTAAAGAATGCATTCCAAAGCACTTTGCCCCATATGAAACCCCTGCAATTCTCTGTTTGTGCCCCCAGCAGCCAATACAGCGTGAAAAAATGGCCTGGATTTTCCCAGAATGCACTGCTGCAAGCATGCAGTGGGGGTGGAAGGCTCAACACACCAAATACGTGTTTGTGCGTCTGGGTGGATTGCTGCGATCTAGGCACATTGAAACTAGGGATGCTAGCTATTGGGTAATTGAATAGCCATGTAACTATGTGAAATCTTTGCAGTTACATGACTATTTGATAGTCCCTGGGGATGGGGCCAGCAGCCAGTGTGCTCCTGGCCCCACTCCCGGAGAGCTCCATGCCCAGGTCTCCTTGTGGACTGGCTGCCTGCCATCCCATGCTCAGACCCCTCCGCAGACACAGGCTAATACTGTGAAGCAGTCTCTGTCCACGGTGGGCCCAGGCTCATTGCGGATAGAAGCTGCTATGGGAGACAGAGGCTGCTCCCTAGTGTAGGCCAGGGCATAGGACAGAAACATCTGCCCTAACATCAGAGTGTTTCTGAATATGAAAAAAGTTTTATCCATTAAGAAAATTGAGTAATAATAATAATAATAATAATGTAAGCAAATAACTGTACTGGCTGTGATCTTAAACCTCAAGTTTGGTCTATAAAATATGCAATGCTGAATGAGGAATATGCATTTTGCCTTGTCTATTTAAAAAAACAGAAATCTTTAAAGTTCCAAGGAGATGAAAACCTGTTCACTTGTAACTGTTTTCTGTGGAGCCTGTCACACTTTTGTTATGCTAACAGAGGGTTCTGTTTGCAGATCCTACGCTAGGCACTGGGACCTATCACGTGAATAGCCTCTAGGGGGCCAAATGTAGGAGTTACATTGGAATGAGTTTGTGTGACCAGTGCTGAGAGTGGCCCTTCTGCCGGTTGTGCTTCACCGCTCAGCTGTCAGCAAGAGAAGGTGGCCGAGAAGCAGTGGTGGAGTGACTGGTTCCCAAGGGCGGGGGGCATTTGAAACTCAGTGGTAAATTTTGCAGCCACTCTCTAATCAGAATGCATGGTACCAATGTATTCTTCTGGTGGCTGGGGTGCAAAACACTGGGAGTGCTGTCCTATTTAATATCATCCTAATCCCTTTGGGGATAGGTGGACCCTTCTGTAATCATGGGACCTAAAGGGAACCCCTGGGGCCTGACCTTGTGTTAATTCAGGCCTGCTGCATGGCTCCCCTTTCCCTTAAGGATAACATATACCCAAATTAACTAGCCAACTTAAATACTGAGGGCCACGTCTTTCCACCTTATGGTCAGAAAGGCCCCTTTCAGCAAAGCTGTTAGGGGCATGCCTAAATGTAAGCATGTGGAATGGACGCACATCCTGCCTGTTAGATGCACATGGAGTCCAGGCCTCGTATCTGAACACAGAGGGAGTAGCGTGCTGTCATGACAGGGGGGCTTGGTGCCTGGGGTAGATGACTCCTTGAGGTGTGATGCTGGGGAGGAAAAGG